GCCAAAAGCTACCGAATTCGATTCATTGCACAAAACACAAAGCATCTGTTAGCTGTGAAAGCATTAAAAATTTAGAAAAAACCTCTTTTCGACCCATTTATGGGGAAGATAACAATGCCAGAGGTAACCGGTGGACTTATCGTAGTAGCACATACACATTGTACCATTTTGGAGACTGGGAGTTGCCTTACATTGCGCGTTAGGCGATTTACATGAACATGCAGAGTATACTGCAAGTATTGCCTCATACCGACTCAAAACCTTTTCCGCAAGGTGCTTGTTTTCTCTCCTGATTCGAACAACATTTGTATGCGGTAGATCTGAAAAGTACAATCAACAAAAATTTGAATGAAAGTTTTAACTTGGAAACTTAAATGAAGTCTTAATCACAATTGCGGGTAGATATTTAGGCACCAAATGAAGGACAAACAGTAACCATTTTCAGATGTCGTTTCAACAGCAAAACAGTCTGTATGCGATCCCAGACGGCAAATGCAATTTGATTCGTGACTAAAACGTGAAAAACGTTTGCAAAGTCCATTTATTGAGCAGTAAGCACAGTAATGAAACTCCCAGTGATCTACAGAGTCACAATACAACGGACTGAGAGAATCTGAAATACAAATACATCCTTTCGTGTCACCCGATATGTCAGTCTTCGTACATCGTAAGCCTGAACACTGACAGGCCGAATATTCGATGTGTAACGGCCATCTGGCTGTAATCTGAAAAATTATTTTCTGTTTTACTGTGAAAGTTCACCGAACAGCTCGTTTATTACTGTTGCAGACCACGGTAACCAAGCAAAATAAGGTTTCAAAGAGAAGTTGATGCACAACATTCAGTGTTGTTTTCAGGAAGATTTAAATACTCTTGCTTACAGGATTTTCAACAACTGTTTTAATGAATGCAGAATTAAATTTTAAGAGCTAACTTAAACACGGAAGAAACCTTTATTTATAAAACTTTACTTAATTTCAAACAGAAATAAAATAAGGTCTACTGGAAGAATTTTTTCCACGACATTTTAGTTGGAAAGAGAGTACTTTAGTACTAGAAAAGAAAAAACACACAGAAATTAAGATTCCTTACTTTTTTTTGCATGAGTAATTTCAAAATTAGTGATTTCTGAACAAGTTGCAGAAACATGCGTTCAATGCCAGTGCTTGAAAACCTTCTTGAAACCCTTTAGCTTATCATTAGAGCAGAATTTAGTATTGAGAAACGATAAACTGGCAAAGTTTTTCAAAATTTTTGCAAAACATATTTGGTTGGTCAAGTTTTTTTATCTTGGTTCTATTAAGAAACTCAAGTTCTGAAGATATTTGTGTGATTTGTGATTATTCTTAAATTTTTTTAATTTGAGTAGAAGCAGTGAGTCAATCTCAACGCGATGCAAAACAGAATTGAATTTAGGTTTTTCTAGTTATACTGCTGCTTTGCAATAGAGCAGTAGTTTTACTTGAAAAGTTATTCCTCATCAACCACCACATTCGTGGCAAACCATTCCGGAAATACTAAGTGCATGTTGTTATTAGGTTTAGACAGGATTTTTGTAAGGTTTTCAGTGGATATGTTACTAAACAAAGGAAAAAGCAGTGTGGTTTTCTGATAGCCTTCTTACTATTTCAAACCCTGATGAAAAAACTTTAGAAAAAGAAAGCATCACTGGAGTTAGATTTGAAGCTGTAATCAGAACTTTGAACCTAGTAAAAAAGAAACTAACTGTGTTTTCCGACAGACTATTAAAGTAGGAGAATACTAATAAGACTTTTTTGTCTTATACTTTAGTTTTTAAAAATTTCTCTAATAAAAGTTTTTAGACTTACCCTACTGTTAGCTGCCGCATGTCTGAGAATTTTTTTCCCAATCAACAGCTTCTTTCAGTGGCACGAGTTGTCATGCCCATCTGCTAGCTTTGAATCTTTCCAGTGAATCTTAAAGTTGTTGCCTCTTTACCTACTGTTTGTGTCACTGTTTCCTTGCTAGGTCTGGTTACTAAGCACAAACAAGTATTCTACAGATCTGCTGATTATAAACATACAAGTAAAGTAAAAATAAAGAAAATTAATTATAAGACAAGTTCCAATTACCATAAACGGTTATTATCAGCGAAGTGATTCAAGTGAGAAAGGGATTATCAGCAGAAAAGGAATCGAAGGTACAGGGATTTCCAAAAGTTAAGAATAGAAACAAGAAGCTATTGATAGGCACTTTGGCAAGTAAGGGTTTATTTACAACCCATAGTAAAATTATTGTATCATAAGAGAGGCCCAATTAGAGAGTGTAGGAGGATTGCTATAGTAGCAGTCCTTCACTTTAAGAATATGCGCGTTAGCCACGACACTTAGAATTGTGTTTTACCACATTAAGGCTTTATTTTGCACAGCGTACCTAAAAAGTAGTTCAGAAAATCACCCTTTGCAGACAAAACTTTAAAGAATTATAATTTTTTTCCAGGTGTTGATAGCATATTTTCTACTGTGTGTGTCGGGAATAATGCGAAAGCTAGAAATAAAATGCCAAATTGAAACTGATCGACGACTGGCGCCATACTGGCAAAAATGCGTGCAGCAGCTGGAATATGCATATCAATAAAAGCCTATCGGCTTAAAATGATTCGACACAGAGAAAGAAGCTATTGTATAACGATGTATTTTTCGCAGTACCCAACCAGCTAATCTTCTCTTCTGTAGCTTTAATCGTTTAATTTCCTTAAATTTCGTTCCCACCTATTATCGATCGTCATTTTTGGTATACTTGTTACAGTGTGTCATAAATTGGTAATTTCGTAATTAAATATTGCATATGTTCGGTAATAAACGTTTATTCACACAAATTTGAGACTTGCCCGTTTTCTTAAGCTTACCGTAAAAGGCAAAAATTACAAAAAAAAAGAAAAATGGAAATTTTTGTTCTATTTTCATTAGATAGAGCCACGAGCCGAGAAATGACTAACGACAAAAATATTTCTGGTTAACTATTTAGTGATCCGAAGTAAAAGCTGTACTTGAGTGAGCAACGAAATC